AACCTGTGTTAAGTTTTGCATATTTAATATTCTTTTATATTATAAGTCCATAATATAAGCATAGACATGATGCACCGAATCATTTTTTTTTATTTTTCATGTTATAGTAAGTTTTTTATTAATTCCTTATCTTCTTAATTGAGAGATATGATATTTGAAGAGAGTTCGAGAGAGATCCTCTTCAAGGTGTCTCTGAACAAGAAAGGGAAATCAATCACATACACTGATACGAGGTATGCTTTTCTTCTTCTTCTTCTTCTGGAACAAAAAACAGGGGCTCCGCCCCTTATTTTTCTTTTTTTTCTGAGCAAAAACAGGGGCTTCACCCCTTCTTTTTTTGGAACAAAAACAGGGGCTCCGCCCCTTCTTTCCTCCTCTTTTTCTCTTCGTCTTCTACTTCTGGAACAAAAAACATGGGGTTCTGCCCTTCGTCTTCTATCTTTTCTGGAAGAAAGATAGGGGCTCTGCCCTTCTGATAATTCTATTTCAATGGCAAAAATAGGGGTTCATCCCCTTTTTATTTTATTTTTTTTAGACATTAAGCGACGCCTAGGCACCCGCCTAGGCGACTAGGCAACTAAGCGCTCCCCTGTCGCTTAGGTTCGCCTTGGCGCCTTGAAAACTATGAATTCAGCATTTATGTCTTTTGCAATCCTTTCCACTTCCCTTTAAACATGTTTGAGAGTCCATGGGGGTATGTCTATTATAATTTTCCCATGAAATAATTACTTTTGGATCCCCTGCCACCTACACCTGCCCAGTTGCTTTGCTAATCAAAGGCCTTGCAACAAAGCCATCTGAATGAGCTTCCCAAACCAATATATATATATATATATATATATATATATATATATATTGAAGGAAGGTTGTCAGGCTAGAGTCCTCTCCTTTCAGACAAGTGGCATCCTATTAATTCAAGAAATAGGATTCAAAAAGTGGGTAGTTTCACTCCTAAACATTCTCAATAGACAATTATTTATTAGCTTAACACATGTTTATCCATAAAATTTAATTAAACAACATCCTAGAAGTGGGCTCATCCACTCCTAAGAAACTGTCAAAGTGGTTACTTTCAGTCACAAACAAATTTTAATTAAGAGCCCTACGGTTCAAAAACTGATTGTGCATTAAAGTTATGTAAATTACCAGAATTTAGTGTAAATAGAAAATCTATTATAACAACAATACTCAGTAATTAAATACTGATTATTAATAAGAATATAAGAAAATAATCATCATCATTACTAATTAAAAATAATATTACAATACAAATAATCTTTAAAAAATACAGAAATAATAAAAAGTTAAGACATTTTTTGCTTAAACAAAATAAAAATTATCAAAAAATACTAGCCCCGTACTTAGTATGGGGTCATTCTCTAGTTAGCCCTGAAAATAAAGACAAAATCCTACTCTCAGAAGTTCTGATTATCCCTTCTATCCTATCATACCCAGGTTACCAAAGGAGCTCCCATCAAAATTCAATTTTACTTTGTTGACTTCTGGGGGTTTCCACTCCACTCTTATTCTTTCTTTCTCTCTTGAGGACTGTGCTACATTGCAAGGATCAAAATATTGCTACACACCCCTATACTCGGTGTTTAGGGGTTAGACGGGCCTTAAACCAACCCCTCTGAACCAGTTTGAAAGGGAAAAGAACTAAAAAAAAAGGCGGTCTTCGATACAGGTTTTGAACCTTGCTACCTTGGTCCAAGCTCTTAAGATGTCAGTGACTGAGAAGAGTTCAGCCTGTGTGGAGTTTCCTAGCCCAATATGGCCGGAATAAACTCTATGGTTTGTTAAGGCTCTACCAATTCCTGAATTCCCTAGAACGCCAAGACTAAGCCCATCAAAGTACATCTATACTTAATCAGTTGGTGGAGGGAACCAATCAATAGCTCCCTTATTTCTTCTAGTCATTCATGGTAAACAATGAGAATTTATCAAATATTTGAAACCAGTAAACCACTCTACAAATATGCTCAGTTAATGTTGCTGGAGTCTGCATTTTTGTTGGAGAAGATTCTTAAATAGTCCATAAAATAGATGCTCCCATGCATCTCCAAAGGATCTTGTCACTTTCCTTTGTGGACCGAAGGATGGACAAGAAAGGTTATCAGAAGGATGTTAATAGCCATGTTGTTTTTACTTTCAGTCATATTCTCTAAAATATGGCCATGTAACATAATAAAGGATAATTTGGGGCTCCTTCATTTCTTCTACAAGTAGTTAAAGATTGAATAGGGCATAGGTCATCATCATCATCATCATCATCATCTAATCCTTGTCCAAACTCTATAGGGTCAGCTACATGAATCCGGAGTAGAAAAGAACTTACAAAAAGGACCCTCAAAATTAGGCTTTCTCAACAGGGACAAGATTCAAATTATGGTTTCCCCCTACAGTTTCATTGTATAGTTCCTAACCTTAATCCCCTGACAATAAGTACAACTTTGTATATCTCCTTTGTTCTTTGTTTCAATGATTGAATAAAATAAACTAAATCATCCATAATAAGCCTGTTCACCCAAACATTTCCACACTTCTAGCAAAATGCCATCTAAGAGCTATCCCTGTCTTCATCTTTCTAAGGGTTTTCCTCTCTTCGTCTGCCTTCATCTTCTTGCATTGTTATCTATTTATGTACAATATGAATTTAGGTAAGGCTTTTAGTCATATTCTCTAAACTATGGCACTGTAACAATCAAGGACAGTTTGGTATTCTTTCATGTTACTGCAGGGATATAGTAACTACATATTCAGTAGGAGCATAAGCTTGATTAATAAAATGGGCTAATTGTAAAAGAACATTTGTTGATATGCCTCAAAATTAGTCTGTTTAAATAGGACCAAGATTCAAATGATGGTTCCCCCCATGGTATCATTGTAAAGCTTATAATATTAATCCCACAATAAATAGTGATTTTCTTAATTTCTTCAATTTTTGATAAATAACTAGTAATTTACATGACCTTTGCAGAAAAAGGAATCAACTACTACATAAAGGATTAGAAAGACATGATGATGCACCAATAGCAACATAAATAAACAAATAACATATACCTAGCCCAATAACATCTGATAAAAAATGTAAAAAACAGGATATCAATTCTCACAATGTCATCCTGTGGAATTTTGATGTCCATCTGATTCAAGTCCATAATTTGTTCAAGGACCAAAACCCAATCTGAAATGCACAAAGAAATGTCTCTACATATTTCATGTATCCTTCCCAATACCCGAAATTATAGCAAAGGATGTAATTCTCCAAAAGATTGCAACACTTGGCACTAAACCCATCTCTAAGTCAATGCTGCATAGGAAGAATAGAAAATGGAAGCTACCAATTAACCATTATTTTGTTGGTTCCAAAAACATGTATTGTTTTTTGAAACAAAACCAACTTGTGTTTCCCTTTGGAAACAAAAACAGAGTTCAAGAACATGTTTTTCTATTTTGCTGATGTGACAATTTCAAAAACAAATGAAAACAAAAGCAGCCATGTTATAGAACATCCCCAAGCTTTCCAGTTCCACACCAATGATCTTCCCCAAACCTTACATTTTCACTATTTCCAACTTGCAACTTAATCATTTCATTCTTTATTAAATTCTTTGATCTTCACTCATATTTTTACCCTTCTTCCTCATCCTTGCAAGGTTGTATAAATCTTTTTCACCCTTTTTTGTACCCACCTTCTTGTAAAATTCATCATAGGCCTTAAGCTTCACCTATCTATGCTAATTGCATTTTGAAAAATTCATGTAAAATTCTTAAGACAATTATTGTTTTACCTTTTGATTCACAAGGAACTTCTTTAATATAACTTGTCTTCTACAGACTACAAGTTGTAGAAAACATGTAGGTTAAACCAAATCTGAATTCCACCTTGCATATTCAATGGCATTTCTTGCTCTGCCATACCTGCCACTGTTTCTATTTTCACATAAAAACTTGGATAGTAGAATAGCATACACATGTTTGCAAGTCTCCATGTGTGTGCATTTCCATGTTAATATGTTTCAACATGTGCTCCACCCAGAGTGCAACCGCTCCTACCAGTCATAGTTTATTCTTATCTCCGCTAAAAGGTAATGACCCCTTGAATACTATGTATACAAGGGGAAAGGAGAATTTCATTGCTTACTTCTAGCTGCCCTTCAACAAATCCAACCTGCTTAAACAAGAAAGGATCTGCTACGATCCCCAGATATTGGATATTGTCTCAAGCATGGAGGCAGAAACGGAAATACATCTATTTATTTCTTGAGGTCCAAGACAGGGATATAACATTACAAGTTTATATATCAAAAAATTAAAAAAACAGTACTAGTTTCACATTTAATATACTTATCCAGGCTCTTATGCCTAATTATTTAATCTACTATCATTTCTCAATGCATACATATATAACCAAATTTATATTTTATAGACATTTTCATCATGTATAGATTTTTTATAGAATCATTTGTTAAAATATACAATTTTAATATTTTAGAATGAGTATCCATGCAGCTTCCTATGTCATATTGTCTACTACCATGTCTAACACTGGCATGCTGAACATGCATGGGTATCCAAGTATCATAAGGGACATAAGACTCTTTTACATACTAAAGCAACATATTTCTATCTTCATAACCTTTCAGCAGCTCATCAAACATAACCAATGAAGTTGTATTTCTTTTTTAAATAGTTATTAGCAGTACTCGATTATTATATTTTAATCAGTTAACTTAAACATGTGTTCACCAATATAGAAAATATTTTTTTTTTGTTGCTTTCACTGATACCACAAGTATAAACTACTATAATGATTTAAAACATCAGCAACAAGAAATGAGTACAAGACAATTCCTTAGCTTCAGTTGAAAACAAAATTAACATGTTAGGAGTACATTTTGTCAAGTGAACCATGGTGCATCATTTATAAACGATTGATAGAGAAAAGCTTTAAATTGAAATGGCTATGAGACCTGTAGCACTTATTAGACAAATACCTTTGCATGAATGAATTTCTCTTTTATTGAAATAGGGTCAACAGGGCTAGGCTTGTTCATAAGAAGCTGTTGGTGTCCAACGGATTTGGAGCAACTGCACCAATAGCAAATTTCAGCAGTATATAGTTAATTACTTACAATACACAAACTAAAGGAGGTTATTCAAATTCTACAACGAAGAAACCATATTTGCTTAGCTATTATCCAGATATGTATTCTATACCCTGTAGAGCACTCATCAGCTTGAAAGGAACTTTGTGATTGCAATAACTCCTCCCATATTGAGTTTGCAAATGTATTTCCCAGTGACTGAAACAAAGCTATAACAGAAGGCTCCCAGATTTTCACATCAAGTGTCAATGATCTTACCTGCAGCAAAGAGTTAACCATGAAAGAAACACAAATGAGCATGGGAAAGAATATGAATTGCAAACATACATAAAAGGTAAACCACTAAAGCAATGTAAATGAGAATAGAAAAAAGAGTGAAGTACATAAGTTCCCATATCTAATATACATAAATCAAGGCAAAGCCATTAGACAAGGGAGCTTCTCCATCAAATGCGTAGCTAGCCTTCAATTCATAAAAAAGAATAAATAAATTTTATTTAGAAAAATTTAAATTTTACGCAGAGCAGGTTGGGTCCTACTCTAGCTCTCTAATTGTGTACCTCATACAAGTTAGAAAGTTGGATCATATTCTTTAATAAAAAATCAAATCTAATTTTAGTTTCCTAACCCACATAAAAAACTCAGCGTAAAAGGCTTTGAGGAGATTGCATTGGTGTTGGTCCCATTCTTCTAGATAAAGTGAATTGTTCAAAATCTAATGAAAAACTAAGCCTGAATGTTTCAAGAATTGTTAGTGTCCTAACCAACAGCATCTGTAAGAAAAAATGATTTGTTGCAAGTTGAAGGGGCTAGAAGGATTAGGGTAGACCAAAAAGGACATGGATTGAAGTAGTAAGAACTGATTTAGGTTCCCATAGTTTAGCAATGGATATGCATTAAACGGAACAGAGTGGTGAAACAGGATTCGTGATTCCAACCCTATAGAGTTGGAATATGGCTACGATGATGATGATACTTGTGCCTGAAGCCTAAAATTGCATCATGGAAAATTTCTTCTTCAGACAGACAAAAAAGCATATAATAGTATTTTTTTGGTAAGTAATGAAAGTTTTATTAATATCAAAAGGGAGTTACAGTGACATCTTTCAAACTGAAGCGTGAGGTGCGGCCCCCATTACAAAAACAGAATTACATTTGAGCCACAAACAATTCAGACTTATGCACCCCCTGTTTTGCAAAAAATCACCCAACCGATTTGCTGACCTCCATTTCCAATGAACAATAATTGTTATATCTCTAATTAGCTATTTAAATATTTTCATAAAATCCCTATACTTCCAAATCACTGTTTCTGGTTCCTTCAGCCACCCTAGTACCACCTTTGAGTCATCCTTAATTACCAATCTGTCAAAGCATATAATAGTATCAACAAAACTAAAGTAGGAAACATAAACAAACTATAATAAGTTCTTATTGGACAATTACCAAAACCTTGAGTTAATGGTGAACATAATTCAGAAAAAACAACCAAGTATGTAAAACCAAATATGCAAATTGAAACAAAACCAGTTTATTCCTCTTCACCAACAGTTTATTGTACTTGACAGTAAGGCATGTGGCACCAAAAAAGTAACAAATGGTAATTTTTTAGAACTTACCTTAGATATATGTACACCAAGGTTACGATGAACACCGGAACACTCAATGCAGACAAGAATACCAAGATTTAAAGAAGCCCAATCTGGATCTGGGGCACCACAATCAGCACATTTATCATTCCCACATACTCTTCTTAGCACATCAATTGGCTTCTCAGTTTTCACACCAAGTCGTTGCTGCTGAGAACTTCTAGCAGTAACTAAGCTCCTCTCAGATGTGCATTCATCAATTGCTAAGTAATCAAAATCAGAGCTTTCTAACGAACTACTCTCACTGGTACCCATAGGACTAGAAGGTAGATACTGAAATATGAATGGAAATCAGAACTATGATGACAAACATAGGGAAACTAAAAATTATAAAAAAAAAATAAACGACAATAATGCACAAATTCTTATTATTTACCTGCTCAGTTAACTGGGAACTCAGCAACGAAGCAATAACTCCTGTTATCTTTTCAACCCAGTCCATTTGATCCAGTGTACTCTCTGCCTATATTCACAAGAAAACATAAATTTAACTGGAACCTTCCATTAAAAGATAATATAATTCCCCAATTTGCAATGCAACAAGGATTTGGTGGAAGCTTTATTTGACAGTGACTTGAAGCACTTAATCAAAAGAAACCAGAAGTACTTTACACCTTTGCTGACCTCTAAATTTGTACCTGCAAGGTATAGGTCTTTGTCGGAGAAATAATTCTGAAGCAGAATCTCAAATCTGATTGGTCTGCATCAACTTTTATTGTTGATGTCAACAGGTTCACAGTATGATGGGCCACGGGCTTCTCTTCATTTACACCTCCATGGTAATGGGAAGAAAGCCAACGACTAAGCAATCCAGAACCAAGTTCAGAGGAATTCCGCTGACTGGAGAGTTGATTGCCAGCTCCCTAAACAATATATCAGTCAACCTTAAAAGGCAGGAATAAATCTAAATGGGGGGGGGGGGGTTCCAGCTAATGGCTTACAGATGGTTTGGTCTTGCGATAGTAGTACAACATTCCACGGCTATCAAGAACGAAAAACCTTCTTTTCCAGTCACCCCTTAGGTTTGAGGAACGCTTTGAGAGATAACCTTGTCGAATTGTTTGAACCTATAACATCATGTATTCTTTCAGATATAGAAGAGAAGTTTTGAGATGGAGAAGATGCAGAGAAACCAATTTTTTCTGTTAACAAAGTAACTCAAATTTCATTAGAAAAAGAAGATACCTACCTATGATGCCCAGATATAGATACTGACATGGACATGGATACAGTAAAATGTGTGTCAACTCTCCATTTCCTAAGAATCAGGACACAGGGATATGTAGAAGTACTTCAATGACCCATCAATCAATGACCAAAAAGAGGGGGAAGGGGGGAGGGGAGACCTTAGGTAACTTAGTTGAGCTATCTTGAGATCCAACTGGATTGGACAGGAAGATATGATGCCCGTAATTTGGTCCAAAGATTCTTTATGCAGTAAATTTGCATATCAAATTTTTCTATACTCAACCAATAATAACTTCCACATTATATATTATAAAATTAAGTATAAAAGAAATGGTAGAAGACCTTAGGTGACTTAGTTGAGCTATCTTGGGATCCAACTGGATTGGACAGGAAGATATGATGTTCCTGGTTTCGTCCAAAGATTTCTTATTGCAGTAAATTTACATATCATATTTTTATATACTCAACCAAGAAAAACTTACAAATTATATATTATAAAAATGTACAAAAGAAATGGGGGAAGAAATTTCCAACTGAAAACATTTACAAAAATGCCACCCTCACCCAAAATACTAACCCTGTAACCAAGCTACAAGCAAAAGTCAATCTATCATACCTAATTACCCATGAAAACCCCTCAGGGTCCAATCAGAAAGAAAGAAGTGATGCCAAAATAAATTCAGGCAAACAGCAAGAGAATTCATTAAAAAGAAACTGTGATCCTCTCCTTCAAATTCCAGTTGCAGATAACTTGTATTGATAGTGCTTTAAAAGGTTCAAGACTTTCTACCTTTCCATTAGCAGAAGATTGCATGACTGCCTCTATCATTTTGTGTGAACTTCGACCTATAGTTTGTATACCATCTCCGTTTTGTGAACTATGTGTGCCATTTGAAGACATTCGACTTTCCCTATCAATCTGCCTCTTGTATTCCTGCATTCTTTCTGTAAGAGCTGCCTGTTCATAGTTTGACCTTTCCCTTGACTGTTGCACATATGTCAAGACCTTCACAACAAGAAGAAGCCTGGAAGTCATTATTCCTGGAATAGAAGAGAAATAAAGGTATATCTATAGTTCACTTAGTTGTCTGAACATGGTTCACAATTTCGATATCGATGGATATTTCACCATGCAGAGATGGTGAAACTTTAGGGTTTTAATTTCATTAAAATCATGAAAAGATAATTACATGATTAGGAGAGAGAAACAAATTTCAGGGATATTTCACTAAGATATTTGGATTGAAAAATCTAAAAAGTCAAGGAAACTTTCTAAAATCATGGAATTAGTTAATAAGCCTTCAAGGAATCAAAAGAATAAGTACAATTGCACATAGAAGGCTAAAAACCATAGCAACCAACTATACAAATCAAATATATAAGATTAAAAGACTTAAATAGGTATCTTCCTCTCTATCTCCCTTTTAATCTTTTATCTATCTTATCTTTATCACGTATGCCATTTTCTTTCCATTTTGACTTCTGTTTTTTCGGTTACTATATGTTTTGATTAGATTGAGAATCTTCTTTTATAGTTGTTTGATTTATTTTTCTTTTGAATTATTCAAATTTAGTAAGTGAATCATAGCAAAATAGTAAACTAATAATTCAATCACTCAATTGTCATTTGTTCTTTTAGGAACAGGTCTTTAAAAAACTATGATGATTTTAATAAAATATTGGAAATTTTCTAATAATATTCTAAACTTTGAAATCTTAAATGTATATTCTAGCAGTAAAACCTGAAATATCACCAGCATACCAACAATATATCAGAAATATTAGGAAAAAAAGATCCCTGGATAATTTAGTATCTCCCACTTGGAACAAAAAACAGGTGTTAGATGGTCAAAACCTCATGGTATAAGACTAAGAAAATTGCTGAGCCATGGAGTACAAGCAATCTTTACAGGAATAATGTTGCCCAAAGAAGCAATCATCCAGCCCCACGCCTCCCCCCCGCCCCAATGCAGGAGCTGAAGAGGCAAAATTGGAATTTTATGAAATTTTATGTATTTCTGTATTTTTGGACAGTAGGGGTATTTTTGTCATTTTGCAATTTTTCTGTGGGGTCCATTGATAGGGTTTAATTTGTCTAGTTATAGTTTGTTTACGTTTAAAATTTCAGAGTCATTGCATAAGTAGGATTAGAGTTATTGAGTCTTCTTTGAATTGAAATAGGATATGACAGCTTAGTTTGAGTCCTACTAGGATTATTAAGTCTAACAGTTTGACTCCTAGGATTATTATGAGTTTAGAGTCTACAAATATGTATGGACGTTTTACACAAAGGCAATGAAATATATTGAGTTTTCTTCAACTTATGCTAACTATGGTGAGTGATTCCCATGCCCTAGAGTGATTCTAGGTACCCTGTGAGTGATTCCAGGTATTTTCTCTCTTCTTTCTCTCTCTCCCTATTTTCTCTCTTATTCCTCAAGACGCCATTACAGCCATCGACAGCCATAAAACTCTGATCAAGAAGACCATTCGACATTCTCAAAGGACTAGAACTGAGCTGGTCCTACATCACCCCCCGAAAGAAAAAAGAAAATAACAGAAAAATGGATACTACATCCGTGCAATGGCACACGGAATAGCCGAAGGTATATGGATAAAGAATCTATTGGGAGAGTTGGGTTTTCTAGTAGACAAACCCATGACTCTACTCTGTGACAACAAGGCAGCTATAAGTATCGCTGCCAACCCGGTACTACATGATAGAACAAAGCACATTGAAGTTGACAAGCACTTTATCAGAAAGAAAATCATCACAGGCGAAGTATGCACTCCATACATCAGCTCTGAAGACCAACTAGCAGACATCTTTACAAAAGGGCTAAACCATTCCAGACACCAAGGTCTCTGTGACAAGTTGGGCATGATTGATATCTATGCTCCAACTTGAGGGGGAGTGTTGACAGGTGTATTATATGTACTGTACGCAGGTTTAGTGCCTGTAGGGGTATTTTTGTAATTTTGTAGTCCTCTTGTGTTGTACAACCAATATAGTATAAATACAAATGCTTCACTCGCATGAAGCAGTTCTTTTGAGGCCTTAAGTCTGCAGCCTCTTCTTTCTTCTTCTTCTTCTTCTTCCTTCCTTTCTTCTTCTGCTCAACAATAACATTTATTATACATGCAGAAATCTAACAATGGCAGAACTTGGGAAACTATAATGAAATTCACTCTTTATGTTTGACCACTTGTATGAAGTTAATCTGCCAGATTAGCACGAAGTCATTTAATTCAGGATAAATGAAAAACTCAAGAAATTTGTTCAGTTCCCAAACAAAGAAAAGAAAATAAACTTCTATTAAACAACTGCCAGATAAAGTGGAGATATTGGCCAAAAGGAAGAGAGGGAAGACATCTTTAAAGGCAGAATGAATGAAAGGAAAAGGGAGGGTGAGAGATTGTGGGGTATCAGAGACGACGGGTTCAAAAGTTTTTATGAGAGAAAAAGGAAGTACAGCACTTTTCCATTGGACAAAGATAAGGAGAAGGAAGTGGAACTTGAGGCCGATCTGTTAGAGGAGGAAGATGGAATTTTTTTTGGATGAATCTCTTGAAGTTGGTAAGGAAACAAACTTCGAGACAGTGGATAATAAAGATGTGGAAGTAAAACTTTGGGCTTATTTTTCTTGGAGGGGAGGAAATTGCAAGGAAGATGTTCAGGGAGATGGAAGAAGATGGTTGTAGGAAGTCAGAGTTGGGAAGAAGTCAACAGAATGTTGGATCAAGGGAGGTTCACAAGTATCTTGTGAAGATGTTGGGGTGTGGGAGGCAGTTCAAGCTTTTGAGAAAAATGTGGTGATTGAATTAGAAAGATTTATTGACTGTTCTAAGGGGATAGAATTGAGTGAACAAATGCCTAATGCAGTATGCAGATTTAGAAACAGGAAGCAACTCAGAACCGTTCAAGTTTCAAGAGTTTTCAGTAGAATGAAGATGGGTTAATGGGGGTGGTCCTATCAAGAAAATTAAGAAAGCCAGGAAGCAGAAAATGCATTGTTACGATTAAGGTGGGATGACGGGTTTTTTGAAGGGCTTGGATTGAAGTTGGGTGTTTTTATTGTTTCGTAGAGATTAGGGTTGGGAGCAATCTTTGTCTCATGAGTGTCGGTCACTGGGCTTGCTTTTGAATGGGTTCCGTCTTTCAGCTTTTGTCTTTAGTCTGAAGGGTCTTTGGTTGCATTTGGGTCTGGTATGTTGGAGGCTGTTGCTGGTTCTGGCTTAGTTTGTTTAATGTTGGGAGATTTGGTTGGGTTTCGTTGTATTTTTTGGTGGGTTTGCTTCAAAAAAAAAAAAAAATTGCCAGCTAAAGTAACCAACCTGGTTTATATATGGTTCCATCTGATGCAGTAGCTCATAACCCTACATGAATATCCAAGCCAAAAGGCTCAGCAGCAACACAATCAATATAGCAATGTGAAGCACAAAAAAATGGCACAAAATTATATACCTGTTTGAAGTAACGAAGATGAGCATCCATTGTCCCACTAACAGCCTCTAAAAATTCAAACCTCTTTTTTGCTTCAACATCAGAGAGAACAGTAACCTAGACAAAGAAAGATAAAGTTGATGCAGCCATGTATCTGAACCTGCTAGCTTGTCAAGAAAGAGGAGCTCTTGACAGGGAAAGAAAATGGTTCAAGATATTCACCTACCAGATTAAAGCGAGCTTGCTCAAATGCAGACCTTGCATTATGAAGCTCCTGCAATACCTCTTAGCTAAATTAGAAGTCAGAGGATGAGGATCACACAATGAAGCAAAGATCACTTTACTCATCATAATGATATTTTCCACTCTCAGAAAACTGACATTAGCTAGTTAATGATGGGATACCTCCTCCAAGACAGTAGCAACATCTGTTTTTGTGCTTTTCCTCAATGAAAGAAACTTCTCACGAGCCTGTTTCAGTGCACAAAGAATAGAGTACTGCATTAACCAGATGCCACTTTCTTATATCATTAGTGATATAGCAGAATTGAGCATGATTGAAGGTTTTAAAGTGGGAAGGGAAGGAATTGCCATTACTCATCTTCAGTTTGCAATGATACTCTTATTTTCCATGATGCTTCAATGAATCAGGTGGTGAATTTTAGATCTATATTGAAGTGCTTTGAGAGTTTGTCTGGACAGAAGATTAACTTAAACAAGAGTGTTATGATTGGTGTAGGGAATATTTCTCAACCATGTTTTGAAGAGTGTGCTACATCTTTGGGTTGTTTGGTGGGGGAATTTCCATTCACATATTTGGGTTTGTCAATAGGTGCAAAGGCATCACTTCACCAATGTGGCAACCAGTTGGATAAATTGACCAAAAATTGGTAGGATGAAAAGGGACTCAAAGAGGGGGGGGGGAGGGTGAAGGAGAATAACACTAATTAAAGGTGTTTTGACTAATTTGTCAGTGTATTATCTATCTCTGCTTAAAATTCCATCATCTGCGGCAAGCTCAATGAGAAGAGATGCAAAGGAATTTTCTTTGGGGCATTAAAGGGTTGGAAAAGAAATATCACTTAGTCTAGTTGGAGTGGGTTTGTAAGGATAAGAAGGATGGAGGGTTGGGGATTAGGAGAGTGAAGCTATTCAATAAACATGGTTATGGAGATTTGGGATTGAAAATAATGCTTTATGGAGAAGGATGATGGCTTGCAAGTATGGTGTAGTGGGTTTTGGGAGGGATGCAAAGGACGTAAAATCTTCTTATAGGGTATGGAAAGAAGCTAATGAGTTTTCAGTCAGCCTTTTTGAATTTTGTTTCTTACAAGGTGGGTGATATCTATAATGTTTTGGGAAGACAATTGGGTGGGGAATGGAAAACTATGTGATGCGTCTATTGCAAAAAGTTTTGAAATTGTTTTCCTGGAGAGGTCAAAGAGGAGAGGAGAGAAGAGATAATAGAAGAGAGGAAGAGAGAAAACAAAAGTTTGGGGTCAAAAAGATAGGCTGGCGGCGCCAGCACTAATATTTATAGTAGGGCATCTCAACAACTAAAAAAAGAGTAGAAAGACAAAAAAGCCCTTGTGGCTTATGTACAAGTACTGTTATTTAGAAGTATTTGATTGGGAGATGGAAAAATGTGTGAGCTTGCTATCAAAGTTTCAGCTAGTAGAAATGCTGTTGAGAGGAAGAGACATAAGGCGGTGGAAGGAAGTGAAGAATGGCATCTTCTCTAATAAATCTTTCTGCAATGCTCTGCAAGGAACCAAGTGGAGAAATCGGATATGAGAGGAGAAGCCTATTCCACCTAGGGTTGAAGGTCCAAATGGCAGGAAGATATTATTTAAAGCTGATTAAGAGAATGTGATGCACCTGTGCTTTGATTGCTGCTGCATGAAATATACATGGGGTTTTTATTTGATCCATCCAAAATTGATGTTTTGGAGCCTAGAACTTCGGGAGAGGTTTTTGCTTGATGGACAACAATATGAGGAAACATCAAGGTGAAGATTGCTTGGAATTGTGTACCTTTTGCTATTTATTGGGAAGTTTGGAAAGAAAGAAATAGGAGGATCTTTGAAGACAAAGAGAGAAGGGATGAAATAGTGGTGCAACACAGCAAAAGAGAGTTATGGAGTGGATTATGGTTCTACCAGAATTTGATGTAGATTCCAAGGAAGACCTTGAGAGTGGTTTTTGTTCTTTACTTGAGTTAGGATCAAGAATCTAATGCTGTTGTCTTTGTTTTTTTAATGTATTTGTTTCATCCTTTGTTGTGAAACTTCTATGTGCTTTGGTGATCTCTCATCACTGAACTTGGTGTACTCTTTTTTTCTTTCCTTAATAAAATTTTATTTTTTATTTATTACAAAAAAATAGTTATACCAATAAGAGAGAGAGAGAGTGAGTCAGTAAAGAAACATGTCCAATAATAAGTGTCGCAGAAATTGGAATCTCTAGATGGATGAATGTGGAAACTATAAAGGATAGGACCAAAAGGTGAAGGGAAGGGAGATCCATCATATGGATGGCCGAACCATGCAGGGTGGCTAGGCGAAATTTCAAAAATTTCTCTCTTCTGGGAATCGTATTCCTTGATTTAGAAAAACTGCATTTTTCAAGGTTCGTTCTTCAAAAAAACCGGACCAGATCTGTAACCAAGATTAAGGGAGGGATATACCTGATACGGAATCCACGAAAGTAGCTCCCAACGTAGGTGTTCACACCCAAAGAGGTCACCAAATCCCACCTCCACTGAAGATGACATAGCTTAAGACGAGGCAAGATCAACAAAGCAATTATTCAGCAAGAATTGCAATCCTTCAGCAAGGATCCCGCGTGGGATGTGTGCACAACATCAGATCTGATTTTTCTAGCAAAAATCAGAATCAAGAACAATTCTTGATCAGTCCAAGACTATGGAGATTGAACTGGGTAGGGCAGCAAGAACAAAGAGAAGAACTGGATTATGCAAAAGTGTTTAATAGAAGGATTTCACCCTCTATTTATAACCTCTCTGGATTAGCTTCCTAATCCTATCAGGAAAGGGTTCTTTGATCCAAATCTTTATTTGGATCTGAACTCTTAGGTGGATAAGACATCTTATCCTCTTGCTGATCTAGAAGCAGATCTAAACTCAAATTCGCCCACTATTAATTAATCTAATTAATCCAGTTCGAATTGGGCTTTAGGCCCATTAAATTATCAGGCTCACTTCCCTTTTAATTTGCTGGCTAGCTTGGCTCTCTTTGTATGGCGTGGGACCCTAACATTGATCTCCACAAAAGCCATATGGGCTCAACCCAACCTCTATTACAAGGCCTGGCTAAATTCACTGCTGAACACAGTGAACCCCTGAGCCCATCAGTATGGGCTCTTAGCAGGCCCAACATTTACATTAAATGGTCCTTGCGTCCAGCCATCAGTATGGACTTAAGTGAGATTAGCCCATCAGGTATATAAACCCTAAATGGTCTTACACTTAACCTCTCAACCCATAATGATCAAATACTACCCGACAAGAAATGACCTCTCCCTCAACTGCAAGGTACAATGTCGCACTCTCTACTCAAGATGGATCCCGGGAATTAAAACCTTTGGAAACCTTTTTCATAAAACATAATATATATATTTATATCTATATAAATATATTTTGCAAAACAAATCTCAAACAAGTTTGAAATCCACTGCCAGCAGTTTAGGTTTCCATCAGAGAGAGTGCTGTCCTTGATCATTCACTTTGTCTAACAAAGGGACTGATTCTGTCACTATGATCATCCACTCAGGTGAATTCTCAGACTGCCCCAACATACCAAGGTTTTTGTAGAAAAGATGGGCCGAATGGCCCATAGGTTGTTTATTCTTTCTTGTT